TTCTTTTTTTTTTTTTTTTTTTTTTTTTTTTTTTTTTTTTGGCAAAGCCTGACCACTGATCTTTATAACCTCAGACTGTGGCTGGCAGAGGTGGAGCAGTCCTGGCTGTGCTCAGGAATATTTTAGCTGAAACAGCCAGAGAAATGATAAAATTAACCAGCCCCTTCCCTTCCCCAGGCAAAATGCCATTGAGTGCAATGGAAAGGCTGAGTCTCCAGGAGAAAGAATGTAGTTTTACAGAGACTTTCCCTTGGAGGGCCAAAGCACTGCAATGATAAATCCAAGGGCAATTCACAGGTTTTCTTCAATAAATGCAATGGGATCCTCCCATGCAGAAAAGTCACATAAAGGTAAAGAGGCACCAAGTCAGCAGGATGTTGTAGGAGGGAAATAGCATCCTTCAGAAATTGCCTTAGGTCCTCACAACACTTGCTGTGGAAGGAGGAGCTGCAGATGTGACCCCTGCTGTACCCTGGCATTGAAACCTTGGTTTTTGTTTTCAGTAATTTGGTTGTTTATATATTGGTTTCTCTTGGTGTTTGCCATAAGGGAACACACCTCCCTGGAGCAAAGTGCTGGTGGAAAGGGGCAGCTGTTGATGGCTTTATTCTGTGCTTTAAAAAGGTCCAAAAATACATAAACTCTGAAGCCCTGCAGCTGCATCCCTATCCTGTGGCACCCCCTTCCCAGCTGGGAGAAGGGCAAGGAAGTTTCCCTAGGGAAAGTCATCCCAGGCTGGAAATGAGTAATGGCTGGTTGGACCCAAGGGGGTGCTCTGACATGGCCAGGCTTCCCATGGGATAAAAGAGGTGCTGAAGGGGAGCTTCTCACAGGGTTTGAGCTTGGATGGGAGACAGTGTGGCTTATGTATTTATGTTCCAGCAGTGAAATCTAATGTCCTGTTCATTAGAGTCACTTAGGCTGTGGGGAGGAGAGATTAATATGAACAACCAGGGTGGGGCCAGGGGGAGGGAGGGCTCTTCAACACATCAGTGGTGCTCTCAGTGTCTCTACAACCATCAGCTGGTCCATCTTCCATGGCTCCACTTAGACACCAGGTCCAGCCCCCATCTTGCACTTCTGTGGGTCCAGCACTGACCCACCTTGGTTTCAGAGGTGCTCATGGGCAGGTGAATGGAGGCCTGAGCACATTTAATGGCTCTGTGAGTCATCGCAGGTTATCTTCACCTTCTGTGCAGCCTAGAAAACAATGCAGCAGAAGAGAGGGGAACTGGTATGCTGAGCTTTTGAGTAGGTAGACCAAGGAGATGTGTGGAGGAAATGTGATGTTTTCTTTCATTTTAATGTGTTTTGTGTCAAAAGACACTCAAGCTCTTAACTGGTGTATCTCCCAATGGAGAAATGCTGAGCCAAGGGCTTCTTTAAACCTCAGGAAACAGAGGGATTCTGTGAGGGTCTCTGGTGTGGGACTAATCTTTCTTCTTGAAGAATTATGAATATAATGGCTATGGAAATCAAACCTTGTGTTTCCTGCAGCATCTTCTCCAGTGCTTGATTAATGTTTGGGTTCAGATTGAGCTCTCTGTCAAGTCTTGATAATTATCAGGGTGAAGGAATAAGCAATGAGCCACTTGATTTCCATCCAGGCAGCATCTGTATGTCTTCCTGGGCTCACTCAAGACCCTCCTGGCAGCTCCAGGAGCTGTTCTGCACCCTGAGCCCTGGCTCCCAGGTCAGCACCAGCAACCCTGAGCAAACCAATGAGTCAGATGCCTTTGCACTCCAACTGGAAAATGGATTTATTTTATATATATTTATATATATTTAAAGGAGATATTTTAAATATATATATATATTTTATATAGATGAGATGTTTTTTTCCTGTAATGTTTCAAACAGACCTCCAGTGCTGCAGGCAGTGAGGCAGCCCCCCTGCCCAGCCATGAGAGCATGCAGCCATGGGGAGGGTTGTTGACAGCCAGCAAGGTCCAGTCTGCCCCACAGACCATCTCAAAGGATGCACTGGCTCCTTCTGATGAAGATGAGGAAGATTTGTGAATACCAAGGAGAGTTATTGAAGCTGGGTCTGACAGAAATTATTTTAAAAGTCCCTTATCTCTCTAAGTGTGCGGGTGAAACACTGGAGGCTGCTAAGCAGCTTCAGGGTGTCTGCAGGGTTTTGTGGTGGGAAGGAGGGTGGGACTTGGCAGCCACAACAATGTGGAGCCCGA